TCCTCCGATGGCCACGAGTTCATCGTGAAGAGAGAGCACGCCTTGACCTCTGGCACCATCAAAGCCATGCTGAGCGGCCCAGGTGAGCGACGTCTGTGGAGAGCTCCAGGCCGCATGCCGGAGTTCCGGCCCTTCACTGCGCTCAGGGTGCAGACTCTGACCTCGGCCAGCTTAGGAATGCTGAGAGGAGAAGTCGCCATGTTGAGCCAGCTCTGGTCCAGTCGATAGGGTTATGTCCTAAGGCCCGCTTAGGAGTGAGGAGTCCCCTCCAGCCTGGGAGGACTGGGGGTCTGTAAATGATAGGATTAACTGTCCGTAGAGAAATGGAGCAAAACATCAAAAGCCAATGTTCAGAGTTGACGGAGCACAAAAAAAGAGAGATGGAACGACAACAACAGATCAACAAACAACAGGCTTCCATCAGGGAGTTCATGTTTTCACTGCTCGTTGTGTAAGGTAACTGCATTGGTTGTATGTTTTGACACAAATACGGTGAGCAAGGAGTAAGCGATACGTGTGCACATGCACAAGCAAATCTGTTTTTTTTGGGGGGGAAACTTCCCAAGGCAATGGGAATGCTTTTGGACCTTCTCAAGACGATGTTCTCGCGGAGCGGTGGCACTGTGGCTCAGGATCTGCGCCTGTGGCTGGAAGGTTGCCAGTTTGTATCCCGCAGCCGGCAGAGGGATCCTACTCTGCTGGGCCCCTGAGCAAGGCCCTTCGCCCCAACTGCTCCAGGGGCGCCGTATAAGTGGCTGACCCTGTTCTCTGACCCCAAGCTTCTCTCTGTGTCTGTGCGTCTCATGGAGAGCAAGTTGGGGTATGCGAAAAGACAAATTCCCAATACAAGATCTTCTTGTATCTAAACTGTGAGCCCATTGTTTGTGACCCATCCTGCCGTCGATTACATTTGCACTGCCTTTAACCGGCCATGTTTACCACAGTTCTAAATTGGTTTGTAGCATTTGCAGCTCCCTAGGCCTGCACAGACCTCTCCTTAAAGCAGTCATTGTAAGTGTAGTATTTCTACGATGATAATGAAACCAAGTTCAATAAGTCTTTATCTCTGCTAAATGAAGTACATCTCAAATTGTGATTTTAGGACTTTATTAAAATTGTGAAGAGCCAGTGACCACTGCAGAGATTGTGAATATACATAAAAAACACCATTAGGGATGAAAGTTACAAAAGAGGGCTGTTTGGGCTGTTACGCCACCTGGCATTTTAACTTACCCGTGTTTATTTTTATCTTTTACAGGTCAGTTTGCTGAAAACGAAACCAATGAAGTCAATTTCAGGGAGATCCCATCTCATGTTCTTTCCAAAGTGTGTATGTACTTTACCTATAAAGTCCGTTACACCAACAGCTCAACAGAAATCCCAGAGTTTCCCATTGCACCAGAGATAGCACTGGAGCTCCTGATGGCTGCAAACTTCTTAGATTGTTGAATAAATTATATCAGAACTAAGGTTTCGGTTTGTTTTTTAGTATTTAACTTTGTTTGCCATAGTATTTCAAATACGGTGGAAAGCATAATGTATGGATGTCTGCTGTGTAAAATCTGAATTTGCTTGGGTTTGTTTGCCATTATATTGGTTTTTTTTCTTTGCCACAAAATATTTCCACTTTTTTTTTTGTTGTTGTATCAGACACTTTATTATAATAAAATGACTTGGCTGTATCTGACTGTGGAGATCTGCGGTATGTGTATCGAGACTTCTAAACCATACTCCAGCCCTGGTTTGATTTCACATATTCCTAATATTTGAGAATATCTCAACGTTATTAATCAAATAAGCAACCAATCGATTTAGTTAAGAAAGCTGCATGGTCTTAGGGGGCCATGAAGTACTAGGATTTTGATTTCCAAATTACTCAATTGCTTAATGTAACAAATTACCTTCTTTATTGATCTAAAATATTTTCCAAGCCTTTATAAATGAGTGATTTTGTGGTTACCTCTAAAGGTTGCTGGACTGGGGCTCTGCATTACCAGGGTTGGGTGTACTTGCTTTGTGTAATCATGGATGAAGCAAATCCAGTAACACTGAGCTGTTACTGAAAATTGATCATAGATCTTATCATTCCTTTCCCAGGTTAGGAAAAACATGCTGATCCATCAAAAGTCAATTTCAAAAATTGTGGGAGTGATACCTTTTGAATCGTTTCTTTGCTCACATACACATTTTCTGTTGTGTGGAAAGTCTTATTTAATCTACATCTAATATGCATCTAGGTTTCTTTTTTGTCTTGAATTAATTGGTGTTCAATGGATAATTATGGAATTAGGAAATGTATTTTTATTGTTGTAGTTCAATGTGTTAACATTGTTTTTTTTATAAAACAATAAAATTCATAATAATGTTTGAGTTTAGACAAAGCAAAATTATTTTGAAGTGTTTTAAGAAAAGTTACAAACAAAATGTAGCCATTCGGCCCCTCTAACCCATTTTAGTAGACAGGAGAAAATTAATCCAAGATCTCATTACATCATTTCTTGAAAGAAGCCAATTAACGATCATGACCTGTATTATCATAAATAATTAATATTTGATTGGGGTCCAGTGACATTCTAAGATTCAAGTGTTTGAATCTAATGCGTTTCTGAGTTCACTGATCATGAATAAAGCACAGGCTTGAATATGATGAAACAGCTAATTTTATATAAAAATATACTTATGAGGAAACAAAACCAAAACCAGGAAATGACTAATTTTAAGAAAAGAGACACTTCTTTACACAGCAGATCATTGTAGTCTGTAACTGAATCTTTACATTGTTGGAGCACTTTTAACATTGGAAAGAAAGCTTTTCTGCGATTTGATCATTAAGCTACTAGCTACAGGACGAGCAAGATGGGTCTGCTTCCTCTTGTTTGCAACCTTTCTTATGGGTAATAAAGTTTTTTACAAGAGTAAACATTAACTATTTTACGTAACCTATTTGGCCTAACAGTTTGCTTTACTGCAATACTATGCAGAATTATTTCCTAGGATATATTCACTCTGCTACTTGGAACTGTTATTTGGCTTGGACTGACAGTACTACTCTACACATAAAAGTTGTTGGTTTTATAAGAACACACAAAATGTGTCCAATCATGATTGCATGCTAAGAAAATTGCAATACTATAATTGCCTGGGTTTGGTTTCAGGATTCAAAAGCTCTTGAAAGTGCATTTTATTGCTGTATAAAACAAAATAAATATCTGTAGTGTGGCTGCTTCAGATGTTTCTTTTTTAAATGGCATGATCATTAAGTTACATGTACAAGCTTTTATAGAAGAACTATTTTATATGATCTTGTTTTAATTATTTTGCGATCTTGGTGTGTGTAAATTATGGTACATATTGTTCAAAATGTAAGTTATTGATTGCTTTCATCTGGTGCTGGATGTTTAGTGAGTCTGCAACTTTTTATTACAGCTCAGTGCTTAATGAGTTAATCAGCTTAATAAGCCCAATTTAACCACTTCTCCCAGCTGTTCAGGTGCTGCTGGTTTAAACAGAACTAGAAAACCCAAAGGCACACCAGGTCTCTGAGAAAAGAAGACCATTCTAAATATAATAGTGTATATGTAAGTTATTGATATTCTTAACAGTCTGAGAGGAAGTATGACACACAATGCCCATATAAAACAATCAAAACCTAAACACTGGAATGAATCAATTTCAACAAGATTTTTTTTTTATTTATGTCCTAATTTAACAAAGAGACTGGGACAGTGTTGCAGTTTGTGGTGAGATAAAAAAAAAAAACTCAAGCAAATGATTAATGATGCATCTTAGATTTTGGAATCAGGTATGGAATGTGTCATGTCTGGCTGATGGGGAACCAGAGACAAGTGGAAACAGAAGTATTGTACTGTAGCTGTGTTCCAAGAAGCTAAATGCCAGGGCCATGGCAGCTCAGCACTGCAAAGCATTATTTTTAGAACCCCAGCAGTTTTTCAGTGGTTTATCGCAGCAAACATGCGGAGGCCCACATTGACAGCTTTCTTATCTGTGGTCAGTGTTTAGCTCAATAAGAATGGCCAGTAGGGGCTGCTGCAAGGCTGTGATTTGACCTAAAAGGTCTGCAAATACCAGAGAAAAGTTCTCTCCTAAGATTAATAATTAGATTTTCATGAGTGAATCACTTTATTACACACAACAGAGGACCAATTACGCATTTCTGTCCGTTTCCAAAAAGGTAATTTACTTATTTTAATTGGAACAGTTCCCTCTCCTAAAAGAATCACACCCGTGTTTTGACTCTAGCACATTTGCTCACCTGTTGCCTTATAGCTCTGATACTGATTACTGCAGTGAGGGTTAATTAGACTTATTGCTGTTTTTTTACATATAAGATTTGTTTCATTATAATTTTGTAAATTGTCTATTAACTAGATGTCAAAAATCTTAATCACGTTCAGCATTTCTTGTGGTTCAATTGTATCACTATTGGCAATACAAGGACTTGGTAGTGAGTTTGAAATATTTCCAGAGATATTACAGAATACTGCAATAATAATGTAGTGATAATTGAACTGCAAAAGCAGTGAGTACATGATAATCCTCTTTAACTTAATAAATAAATATACAAAATACGAGATATATTTTCTTACCCATTCGCGGATTCCAAAAAAGGATTGGTGGAAATACAAATTTTGCAGTGCAGTGCGACAGTAATAGAAATGATTAAATCATGCAAAAGGTAATGTAGTAGCAAGAAACATACGAAAGCATCTATAGGCATTTAATGAGTCTTTGCATTTCATATTAAAGGCCTGACGTGAGGATCACACTGCTGAAATGTCAGGTTATAATATATGCAAGTGTCTATACATTTCCAAATTTTCCTTGGGAGAGGCAAAAATTAATAGAGTTGCTTTCGGACCCTCCACATACATTCGTAGTCGAACAGTGCTTAATTTAGACATCGTTGGCTGTCTTTCCTGCACACACCACCCCAGCTCCCACACAAACTGGGTCTCTCCCATTTGCATCTTAACAAGTGGAGTCTGCGCAGAAACTTCCAAAGTACCATTTCCCAAAAGTGAAAGCTCCTATTGTGCACGATCAGGCATGCGTTTGTCTGAATGGAAATTCACAAAGCTGACAATTTACATCCACTCCTCATACAGGCGGACTAAGGCCCTCATCAAATCAATTCAAACCTTAACCCACTGCCGTCCACAAATTCCAAACATGTCAGTGGATGTGGGATTTCATTTCTTCTGGTCAGACACTGCCTGCGTCTTGCCACTGGAATCCTGCTGTTTAGTCAGAATTCTCTAAAGGTCAGTCAGTAGGTCAAACGTGCTGTGAAGAGACAAGACATGAGTTTAATAAGAGAGGAGGGCAAGGGTGTCAGAGAGGTGGACACCCAGAGAGGACTCAACAGTTAAAACAGTGATTGTTCTTTCTACTTCTCAGTGTCCATTAAATTCTTTTAAAATTAACTTTCATCAATGGTGAAAGTGGGGTTTCTTCAAGCTGCTTTTCAAAGACATGCTCACTATGTCATTTGATGTGTCTAAACACTCCCTCTATGTGAGTCCAGTGACCGATGATGACCTACTGTGCCCCCTGTATCTACATCGGTGGGCTGTGCCACACTGCAGCCTTCTGGATGAAGCAGCTATAGACAATGGGTGGATGATGATGAAAATACATTAAATGCTCATTTAGACACTTATGAAATTCATATAAAGAGTAGTTTATGTAAATGTATAAGCATGTGTATGGGACAATGACGCAGCATCATACATAATGATGATAAAATATAGCCTTCTCTATCAAGTGGTGCTCTGTTTCCTCAATGAAATCCAGTATGAATTCCATTGAGCTGTGCTTTCTCATGCAGGATTGGGCCTCAGCCAGAAACTCTCAGTATTAGCAGTTTCAGATGTCCTTTTAAGGCTATTATGAATTGGATTAGCAGAAATAGCCCTCATGCAATCACCCTGCACAGCAGGAGCACACACTGGCTTGTTAAAGGGGTGTAGTTATACCACTGGGTTCATACCTTCTGGACTAGTATGAATAGTTGGCAATACTGAAAAGTAAAGCCAGGATAATTCAAACCATCAGAAAAAAAGAGTTGTTTTGTTCTAGATCAACTGATAAGGATGGTGTTTTATATAAGAACAAGTAATAGGTTTATTCCACGCTTGAGAAGAGAAGAAAGAAAACACAATGTTTCGGCCATGGTGCCTTCTTCAGGTGTGAGAGAGACAGGGCAGTAGGCAAAGGTAATGTAGCGGGAGAACAAAAGCTGGGAGAGAGGAGGAGCGCGAGGCGGGAGCAGGGGGCAGAGAGTGGCCAATCATGGCTGTCAGAGGTGAAATGAGAAACAATAGGCTTGGAGAAATCTTTAATCTTCACAGCCCTAACAGTCTCCTTCCTGTTTCCCCAGTGTAGATGGCTGGGTATTTAGTGCAAGAGATACAGTAAATAAGGTTGTGGAGGATACAAGATGTCATATGAGTGATCCGGAATTGTCCTGAGGGACCTTGAATGAGTGTGGTGTTAGATATGTACTTGCAGGTGATACAGCGTACTCTGTTGCAAGGGAATGTACCTGGTGTGGATGATTGTTGAGGGCGGTCAAGGGAGCTGTGAACAAGAAGGTTACACAGATTAGGTGGTCAGCTATATGAGATGATGGGGTGGTCAGAAAAGGTATTTAATATATGTAGGTTTGGAGCTTGTGAAATAGTTTTACACTAAAGGACAAAGATGGTGGTTGTAGAGAACAAGAGACAGGTAATGAGACACTTAAGGGAACATTAATAAGGGATTATTTATCTGAGCCATGGGGCAGTTCTTCCACCTGTAACAAAACATGATTCCAGCACTGAAATAAATCTAGTTGAACTGCACACAGAAAAGTAGAAAGAATGACAAGCCTGCTTCAGGTATGTGGGAGAGAGGGAAATGCTGAGGACCTGAAGACGTTTCATACTTTTCAAACAACGCCTGTACTTCTGGAATTACTGGTACTTTCACCTTCACAATGTGGTCAGTTCAAGCTTGACAAGTCTTATTCCACGTATTGTGAGAACATGCATTTCAAAGGCATTTCAGTTAATTCACAACTGAAGGCAACACAAAAGCAAAGTTCAAGTTTTAATTGAAACAAAATATCTTATAATATAAATAATAATGTAAAAATGCTGCCCTCAATAAAAAAAGATGATTGTTCAGTTCACTTATTCTAGGTGTACATGTAGGTGTATGTGTATGGTATATAAGAAACAGATCTTACATATTAAGCTATTATTGAATAGTACCCAGTGCAACTGAAATTTTAATCAGTAACATTGACCTGACACAATCAAATCTTGTTTCCCTAATTAGATGGTCAGGAGGACTGCATTGAGTTTAAGGAATAGATCCATTCTGAATCATATAAAGTTATGTTTCATAAAATATATTTAGAAAAGCCTCCTACCTGAATGAAGCCCCGACTAGCTCTGTTGGTAGAGCATGAGACTCATTATCTCAGGGTAGTGGGTTTGTGTCCCACGTCTGGTACCAGGTCCTCCATGTTGGAGGTTGGGCACAAGGCTAACAACCCTGGCCTGTAAAACAACTAATGATACAGTAACAACAACAGGATGTTGCTGCTCCCACATGTCGGAAGGCATAATGGGCAAACATCCATCTACCTGAATGACCAATTATTGTAAATAAAGTAACTGGCTAAGGAAAATGGCATTCAGCAATGTAATCTGTTTTCTTTGTGATAAGGTGTGTTTGCAATACCCAACAAATGTAAATCTATTCAATGTATAAGTAGATTTGCAAAGATTCTTCTTAGTTTATCGGTACATCATCCGTGAGGTAAGACAGCATCTAAAAGGTTTTTAAAGGCATTTATTGTACCCCACCCATAATGACAGGCTTTTCTATTAATTCCAAGGCAACCTACTTTCAGATACTACTGATAAAACCAAATTCAAACAGGAGGCTGAGACAAGATTCCTGAAGGTAGACTGTTTTGTTCTGTAACCCTCTCTATCAGTCTGTGAAAAGCTTTCTGCTATGTTTCTGGAACTTTCCTCAGCTACGATAACCCCTAGTACAGAATCCTGTACAACACAGTTTTCGTTTTTATGTCCTTTTCTTTAATACAACTCTATCGGTATGCATTTGACTGTCCATGACATTTATTCCTTGTCTTGAGCCAAGACAGTGCTGAAACTGCTGAACTGTAGTGTAGTTTCGGTCTGAAGACTTTTAACCATGGATATGTAACGTAAGTTTAGATACCTTTTCAAGTGGACTTTTCAAGTTATGATCCAATCTTTCATTTACTTAACATAATATATCTTAGTTCAAGTCCTGTAGGTAGCTGCATCAGCATACATTGGCTGCAAAGGAACAAATAAAGGTGTATTCCATGCTGAAAAGAGAAGAAAAGAAACACAACGTTTTGGCTGTGGTGCTTTCTTCAGGTGTGGTAATAAAGGTGGAGGGGTGGCACTGTGGCTAAGGATCTGTGTCTCTGGCTAGAAGGTTGCTGGTTCAAATCCCACAGCTGGCAGAGGAATCCTACTTGTGTAGGATTAAGGCCTGAGCAAGGACAATCTGAAGAAATTGGGGAGCCTAAATTAGATCCCTTGGAGGGGGAGTGTAACCAGGGAAAAGCCATGCAAACACAGGGACAACATGTAAACTCTCCACAGACAGACACCTCTAACTAGAATCAAAACCAGGACCATAGAGTTGTGAGGCAGTAGCACAAGTCACCATGTGAATGTGCTGCCCAATTAGCTTCTTAAAAATTTGCAACAGAAAACGTTTAGCTACCATTTGGCTGCAAGTCTTTTTCAGTATGTAGGCTATTTCCTTATTGGCAATTAGAATTGTGCACACTACAGGTATCTGGCCTCTGAGCTTTGTGAACCATCGTTTATTTTTGCCAGTGCAGTTGAAAAGCAAATCTACATAAGACTTGCACATAGTTGCATGATTTTTTGTAGCATGTGGGAACTATTTTTCTGCTTTTGTGGTAACTATTTTCTTCACCATGTGAGACTACAAGCTGCTCTCTGGTTGCTTATTACTCATCACTTCCCTGAATTAGAAGTGAAGACAACCCATGATTTCGCACAGAACAGACACAGCAAATAACACCCAAGCAAAAAGTATTATCTTGCTTTGGTCCAGATTTTTAACGAGACTTTCCTGTTTACCTTGGATAGTTCCACAGGAGTAAAAGATCAAACGTCAGTAAAAACCTACCCACTTTTTTTTTATCTTCCTTTTTGGTATTCTGCATAAGACAATGGGATCACTACCCTTTCACTTCAGGATTTTCAGTAGGACTTTCAGGCGTCACCTGCGTCCAAACACATCGACACCGGAGAGTGTAATGAAATGAAATACGAATTCTGAAAATCAGGTTTCATTTTGCTGATCAGCAAAAGTGTAAGTCATTCGTGTGTTTCGGTTTTTCTTCTGGTGTATCCATTGCTATACTCAAATAATAACGTCCGCCCCTGCCTGAAACGACCTCTCTCTCTCTCTCTCTCTCTCTCTCTCTCTCCCAGTCCCTCCCAGACGGGACACAGTATTAGACCTAAAACCCCAGCTGCCTCACGCCCGGCCCGGTGTCCTTGTTTTGTACACACAGGACTGCCCCCGGTCCACGTGACGCCCTGACGTAAAGCTCAGCCTGCGTCTCTCGCTCTGGTGCAGGGGGTTTCCAACATGGCGTCCATGCAGGTGAGTGTCCAACGGGAGCCGGAGCCGCTCGGTGCAGTTTGGGTCCGCTTTTTCCTTCTCGCCCGCCTGCCTCCGACACCCGACGCGGCGGAGGCAGGCGGGTGCCCGGCGGTGGTCTCTGCCAGCCTGGGAGTCGGAAGTGGCGGCCGGGGGAGGCTTGGAAGTGCGGAGAGAGGCGGCTGGCTGCCCGCAGCCCGTGTTGGTGGTGTATCACCTAGCTGGAGCGGCGGGGCTGTGTGCTCGCACAGGTGATCGCGGCGGTACCTGCAGATCGGGACGTGGTGTCCAGCTAGTCATCGGAGATGTGTGGACGCGTGTTAAAGTGTGTGCTGTTCTTTTTTGTTTTTTGGCCAAAAAAAAAAGAAAGAAACGTAACAACGACTAAGGGGATCTTCAAAGTAGAAACCAGGATGTTTCCTGGAGTTTCTGCAAGGAGACGACTGAAGACGAATAACGACGTAGGCGGCTCTTGCTTCACAGTGCATTTGTTTCCCAAAAGAGACAAACAAACAAAACAAGTGTGCGTTTGAGTTTTGTCGATGTTCTAGCTGGGGAGGGTCGTTCGACGCTTTGGAGCAATTTCTAATTTCGAGAAATTAGTGATGAGCGGTGGTCGTAAAATATTCGTTACGGCAGATGGTTCTTGAATGGGGGTGAAGGTGGTGGTGTTTTTTTTTTTCTTTCTTCAGGGGTAGCTCTGGCCCTTGTATCAACCCCAGCAACGGGACAGATCAGCGCTCCCGGCGCTCCTGCATTTGGAATAATGAGTTTATTCCTCATGATGCCTCTGGCGTCGGGAACGCCGTGTGTTTATTTTTAAAAAAATCCGTCACAATGACCTTCTTCGCAGAAGTTTTCTGTGGTGTTGTCACGGGTGCTGTATTCAGAGAGGCCCCTTTTTTTTCGTTGCTAGGCTTTTAGTGATTGAGATCGCTCGGACCACAGAGCACCTACCGGTGTCTGCCTCTTTGTGTTTGGAAGGGCTGTCACGCACAGACACATGCTTTTAGTCGGAGACGGACTTCCACGACCGCTGCACTCAGCACTGACTTTTATAGATCCAGATTCCTACTAGCCTACGAAAATAATGCCCCCCACTCCTCCTCACCATACTGTTGGTGTCATCTTCCACACATTTTTGATTTGGGAGGTTTTGAGGTCTTTGGTAGAGAAAAGTCAGTATGCACAGTTCAAACTGGTTGCTAAAAGCTTATATAACTGGACTGGTCTTGTATTCTTTTAGCAAGGGTGTCTCCATATCATAGATAAGAAGAAACTTTTTAGAGATTGTCAGTCCTACACTATTTTTTTTAACCAAGGCAGCTTGGATCGGGTGTTAAACAGTTGCCATTTCAAATTTCATACCGTCACAATCGCTATGCTTTTCTGAAGATGTGAGTACATTCTGTTGGAGACTAGTAAAATCATTCTTGCAGCCTTGTTTTGTAAGTGTAACCCATGTTAACAAAAAGCCAGGAGGAATTTGCTTTTTCTTTTTACGTGTAGTTAGACGTGGCAGCTCTTTGTCATTTTTACTGCTGTTTTTGTTCTGAAACTTATCTTTCCAGCTGGGAACCCGGAATAAATGTGACTCCAATCGCCGACACTTTTAATTTGTTTGGTTGGCAGGTGCCCTCATCCAGGGTGATTTACAGAATCTATAGAGCTTGCATTGTGACTAAGTACAGGGATCCATCAAGGAGATACAATAAGGTAAAAACAAATGTATGACAGTAAGGCTCGTGTGATGAGTGTAACTTTGATTCTGTTGGGGTTTGATAAGGATACAATAGGGTTTAAAAACAACAATAGGGACAAACTGGATAGTGATGCAAGTACTGTGCAAACAGTCAAGCTAAAACACGATAATTGCACATCTGTGACAGATCGTTTACATTACGGTCTCAGTCAGTTTTTAAAGTGTTTTTGCCTGGAAAATTCTTGTAACACCGTAAATGCGTTTTGCTCCTCTTGTATCCGAAGAAGGTGACCCAGACTTATGACTTCACCTTGGAAATGTATTGATTCATATCTTGCATACAGTGGACGTGTTCCTTTGGGGGAAGACACCTTATACTCCAGCAGTGTGGCATCAAAATTCACCAAGATCTGAAATGCATGTACTGCAGCCCCCAGGTCAGAAGCTATTTATAGTTGTCATCGTTATTTCTGGGAGCCTCGGAGCTTTCATGTAATCAACAAATTTGACAAGAGACACCTTTCAAAAATTTGTCTTGGATTAGTCCTACTCTAAAAGAAAATATTCTAAATAATTCAAGCAATCATTAGGAGCTACTGTAAGGCTGATTGTGACTCCTAAGGTCTTATGTTGATCCCTGATTTTTTCGGAATAGTTCTGTTTTTAAAAGCATTTACCTGAATATGTGAGCTTTATAGAGTATTTCAGATCTTTTCTTTTTTTTCTCCCACTTTATAAGTTTTTCCTTTCTGCACGCCCTCCTTCTTTTAATGAAAAACAGTTATTCCTATAACTCCTGTTTGGTGAGTTGTTTGAAAACTTTAGACCGCGTAGCCCTGTGTGGACCTGGAACCCTGAGATGGGGAAAAAAAAACTCATTTGACTTTTTCAGTCACTAGTTAGAAAATTAGTTTTTCTTGCCTTTTTTTGGTTTGCCAAAACCTGGCAAAGCTGTCTACTTCATGTCCACTGTTCTGGAATAGGATAACTCTACCTTCTACCTTCACGTTGCAGTCTTGCCGTTAATAATATCTTCAGGCAGTTGTCTGAATGACCGTTGTGTTTTTCATTGTTTTCAGCTTTATACCCACGCAGTATAGAGTTTCCAGTTGTTTCTCTTGGTGAATGCTCACGTCTGTCCCCCCTGTACTGCCAGGGTGAATGAGGAAGTGTGGAATTGCTCTCCTTACTTACTCACTTATCGGCCAGTCATTTTTAATGTGCTTTAGCCTTCGAGCTCCTGCACTGACTGGTCTTTCACTGCCGACACCTGGAGGGCAGTTGTTCAGTCCAGCTAGGTTTTTAACCACCTGCATTAGCTCATTGTTGTCCCAGATGAGCCAGCCCAACAACTTCTCCCCACTTGTCTTGTCCTGTCCTGCTACTTTATAGAAACTTGGAATACCTTGCAGGCAAACCACCGGCCTTCTAGAACCAGGTTGTATGCTTTTAAACAGTCAGCTTTACTCCTGAGGGGCCAGTTGATCTGTGGGTATTCATTCCAAGTTGGCTCTTACCACGTTAGATCAGCTCGTTCCTGCCTTAACAGGTCCAGTTGAGCGGTATCTTGCAGGCACACCATTTCTTCAGGACTGGGCACCCCTGGTCTAAGTATTTATAACATTCTTTTTTTGTTTTACTACTTAGCTTGTTATTGTATAACTTACAATTTATGTAAGCTTCTCTAAACCTCCCCCACCCCTTACAGTAATTCTCTCATTGGTGCTGCAGGATCTGTTGGCCATTGTGTTATAAATAGAAGATTACTGTAGCGTTAAATTTAATGTAGTTTAAGGTCCAGAGAGACAGTGCCCTAGCAGAATAAAATGAAAGTGTGCAAGTCAGACTTGGGATGAAGACTGAAAGCAATATTAAACATTAAAATGGAAGTGGATTTGTTAGTGTTGAATATTTTTTTTATATGCAGGATTTGGTACCTTGAAGACTCTTGGTTTATGAGAATTGTACTGTGGCGCAGGTTGTGCCCTAGCTGTGTGAGTCATCAAAGTGGCCGTTTTAGTGTGTGTTAATCATAGCTGCTAGTCAGGGTGTCCCCGTCTGAGCTCTGTAGGACAAAATCTGAGATATCATGCTTCTGTGGAAGGCGGTATCTCATCTTTTCTTTCTTGTTTGTGGAACAGATGCATAACTGTTTTGATTTAGATATATGGAATATTTTTGGCATTTATACATCTCAGTGTAATTTAAGAGAGGTAAAATGAACACAGTGATTTCAACTGCAAGCAGCAACTGTGTGGGAAGTCTTAGCTGAACAGGTTTCTTTCCTTGTCCAGGAGAGAGTGGAACAATCGAGAGATATGATGGTGTGTTTTTGAAGGGCACAAATGAAAAACGAGCGCCAAGCATTGAAACAAAAAACACTGCAAACTGCACTTTTGTTCTCTTGACCTTTAAGACTTGCATACAGAGCCAGGAAGGCAATCTCAGGTTGCCGCTGCATGATCTATCCTATCTGTGTCCTGTGGGTGAAGAGAAAAGGTCTTGTACAGAGATGTCACCTGCATAAGCAATTGCAAAAAGTGTCATTAAACTAAACACTTGGTTTAGAACAAATTCTCATTGTTTCAAAATTACACAGGGTCAGTAATTGTAAGGGGCGACCAATAATCCACGTTTTAGATATACTGCATACTTACTGAGCTATAAAAAACAATGATATAAAGTTACCTGTAAATGCTTAAATTGAAATTTAGCATGTCTTAATTATAATTTTACCCTAAATGCAGAACATGTAAGATTGTGAACATTTGTTTTAAAACATTAAATTAAATTGATATAGGTAAAAGTTGACTACTCCCTTCCCTCTTTTTACAGAAGTAATTTGTTTGTCCTTGAAAACTGTTCTTAAGCTGGAAATTTGTTCCCTGTACTTGTTAAACCTTTCAGTTTGTTCCTGTGGTCTGGACAATCACCCAGCTTATCTTGTTTTTACTGTAACAGAGTACTGAATCGTCAAAATAAGAACCTTCTCTTATGATAATTACCCTTTTAGTATGGTAGTGAACAAGACAAAGAAAGACATACTGAAGATTTGTGTGATGTGGGAGGTCTCCTTATGAGCATAGTGTCTTCCATTGCACTACACAGGACCCTCCTGCGCTGAAGCAAAAATCTCTTCTTACCATAAAAACATATTGCAAATATTTTTCATGACGGCAAAAATTCGTAAACCATTTTTGTCAACTGAGGGATGGGTGTGTTTAGTATTTCCTGTGATAAATTTATAGAATGATTTTGTTTGGTCCACTTTCTAACAATGTAGAATCAAATTTAGGAGAAAAAAAGCTTGAATATACGAATATATATATACACGGATATAAGAACTTAAAAAGGGCTGCAAACTTAAGAGGAGGTCATGCAGACCATTTTGCCTGTTCTGTAAATAGTAGTTAATAGAACCAAGGATCTCATCCAACTTGAAGGAAGCCAGGATATCAGCTTGTTCCACACTCCCACATGAGTAAAGAAGTACTTCCTGTTCTGGGTTTGAATGAACTTCCCCGTAGTTTCCAGTTGTGTCCTTTTATATGCGTTTCACTGTTCGTTCTGAAGAAGTACCCTGTGTTGCCTTTGGGGATTCTGAGTACTTAAATCATGTACCCTTGTAAAGATGTCTGTTAAAGAGTAAAAAGGTTTAGTTCCTTCACTCTATCAGTGGAGGACATTGCTTTAAGCCCTGGAATGTTTCTGGAGGAGCAGCATCCTTTGTCTTTCAACTGCAGGTTTCATACAGCAATAGCCTCTCTGGTATTGGCGTTGCTTCTGGATTTAACATTTCAGGACATGTTTGGTTTTTCACATAGCTATTACTTTACATATCTGATCTAAGTGTTAAGTACATCATGGGGGGGTGAACAAAATAATGGAAATGCCCAATGAAAAGTCACTCCTGTTGTGAAGTAACTGAAATCACAGTTAAAAAGGATTCTTTAAAAAATAAAAGAACTTTGAAGGAGTTCCAATAATTGTTGCCTTAATTGCAGGTGAATTAGTCACAGAAATGGCAAGGGGGAAACCGTGTCGAAAGTCATGATGGTTTATACCAAACAAGGGAAAACAGCATCAGGAAGGGGGATCATGGTCACATGTCTCTTTTCACTGACAAGGATAGTTGCTGAAATTCACAAAATGGCCTCGAAATTCACAAAACTTACCACAGAACTGAATCTACACCTACATGAGCCTGTCTCAATAACTGTACATTACGAGCTTCACAAAGCTGGTGTTTAGGGATGCCATTCAGAGTCTCCTGCGACCAAAGCCAAGGCATAGCAACATTTTATCTGCCACTGTAGAACTGTTCTTATTAAGACCTAGAATTAAATTAATCCTAGTCATTTCATTGTCAAAATCAATTTAGTATTATTATCTTGCTTCCATCTTATTGCTTCTGACAACTTAATCAAAAACACTTGGCGGACTACTCAAAGTCAGCATTGATTGGCATTAGATTCACTCTGGTGTCCAATCTAATTGACGTGATGACACTAACAATCAGTGAATCATTTAAGACTTATGGTATGTCTCTCAAAGTCTAGCTTTGGAAGTGTGGGTCTAGCTAATATCTATCTATCTTTCTGTCACCAGTCTCCATCTGCCTCCCACACATCTTTATCTGTCAGACTTTTTTACTCTTTGGATGTAAAACCTGTAAGAATGGCCCTTTTCTGCAATGAATTTGTACACGTACAGAATTGTCCCAAATTTGTCAAGGTGCATTCAGATCCACCTACCTTTTTAAATCTTTTCAAAAGAGCAAGAAAAATGTGCTCAAAATGATGTTTAAAATTAGCCTTTTTATTAAAATTGCTCTGTTTCTTTTTGTCTTTAAAACAAGGACTTAACTACAGTATTTTCTCCGCTCCTTCAACTCATCAATTTCTCTACTTTGATCAATTTAATGGGTGTTTGTTAAGAAGTACACAGTGATAAATTCTCAAAATAATGCGACATCAGTAATAGGTGAAAATTTACTCCATTATTATGAAAGTATAAATAAGCTCTCAGGACAATGTTCTACAGATGTTGCACGAAGAACCCAGTTATAGTGTAATGCAAATGAGAAATTTCAGAAGGAAATATAGAATTTATACAACATATTTTTGCTTGAAAAATGTATTCACAAATCCTTTTTGTATTATTCCTTTTGTAATCATGGAAAAGGGGGGGAACAATAAAACCAATAGAACTTTTCAGGAATTTAATCTGTAAAACATTGCTTCTGTAAATGTTCTGTGGTGTTTTATATGTTACGGTGCTTACTGTAATCTGAGGGCTTTCCTATTTGCCTCAGATTGTATCTGTTTGCTGAACACGTAGTGACTCTTAAATTAAAAACACTTTTTTTTCTTTGCTTATAGAAACGGCTACAGAAGGAACTATTAGCTTTGCAAAATGATCCGCCCCCTGGAATGACGTTGAATGAGAAAAGTGTACAGAATACAATAACGCAGTAAGTATACCGACAGGGTTATTATTGAACACCTTTTCTGAAGGACTGCTGTGTAGGGCTTGGTATTATTTTTGGTGCTATTTATATTATTTGAAGAGAACATCGCTAGTAGCTCATGCAGCATCTTTCTTGATCTGAGAAAGTAAATCTTTCCCACCTGGCATATGTTGTTGTGAGGTCATGTTTTGCTTGAGGGTTTAAATTGCCAAAATCATTCATTCCTTTTTTTTCTTTAGCAAGAGTTAACTTGGATGCTGACTTCCCTTTGTGTGTTGTGCTATGAAATCTCTCATGTCTTGTGTGCATAGATTGACAATATTTTGAATGAATGAACCAAACATTGAGACTCCAGTGCATTTATCAACCTCCGTAACAATTTATATAATACTATAAAATAGTAAAGCTATGCAATAAAATAAAAAAACATGTAATTAAATGTGAACATGTTTTTTTGTTTTTTTTTGGGATGTAGCTACTGATAAGAGAGCTTAATCCAAGACTGTGAGTAAAATGCACATTATCTGCTCTTGCTAGTGTTCTGTATGCTTCTGTATGCTGTTATCAGTCTGACTGATCTGGTGAAGCAAACGCTTCCATTCCTTAATCGATTCAGTTTAAAACTAAAGAACAAAAATCCATTAAAAAAAATCTTCGTTGAATCTGTGTATTACCGTAATTCATATGAGTAATGTATACTTTTCCTGCTAACTAATGTTCCCAAGATGAACAAAGGAAAAACTGCCAGACTCAACTACATGTTGGGACCTCCTGTCCTGTTTAATTAAATGAAAATGAACCTGTAACAGGTGTTCAGTATGTGGAAACAAAGGCGTTTTGTAACAGCAGGATTTGCACTATGAAGCTTTGGAAGTTAAAAAAGAAAGCTGATGTTGGCCCTCACTCCCTCATTGGAACCAGTTGTTTCTGACTGATCAAATGGCGTTGTCATATACCAACTGTATCTTGGGAGCTGGGAAATCCACCTGGAGTAATGGTCCTCACTTCCTTGAAATGGAATTTCAGTGCCTGTCGTGACCCTCTACACGCATTCAATTTCAAAATTTTAAGTATGCTCTTCAGTCCCCTGACTGTCTTTGAGCAAACATGACCAGAGAAAAGCAGAGGAGGCAGATGCTGAAGGATGGGGTGAGTTTTGTTAAGTAAAAATGATTTCTTGGTTGTCTTTTGGAATTCCACCCATCTTCCTGCTTTCCAGCAGGAAAGATGTCTGTAGGTAATCGCCTTTTGTGTGGATGATATGAGGGAGATGCCCTCTGGTCTCACTGAAGATGCTTTTAAAGGTGAACTCCTTCAGAACCAAAGCAGACCAGAAAGACCGTTAACACTGCTTTGCCAAATCCAGTAAAAAGCTGTCCCCCCTTTCCTGAATCGGTTGCACCAGCAGTATTAATCTTTCTACATTTTAATTTTTTTCCACAGCTAGAATAGGCTGATTTACTGTATGTTTTGTAGGCAAAAAGCCTGTAAAATTAAAGTAAAAGCAGCTGTAGTTGAAGGCATTTTTATTTAAAAATTAGCCCTTTTCCCCTCATTCTCCAGTTGTACCGTATTAGTCATCTCTTGAATTTACATAGTAATTTTTATCCAGAAGGGTGTCAAAGTGCTCTGTATGTAAGAGTGAATTGACTTAATCTACTGCTGAAGTACAGCTCCCACCTAAATGATGTACCTCAGATCTGCTCCATTGTTAAGAAATCTGCTCCATCAGCCTATTAAGAAATCGTGCAAATTAAGGCAGGCAGCACAGTTCCGTTGTGTATTTATATATTCTCTTCCTGCCCTTGTCTTGACATTTATGGTAACGTGAGGTTAGCTGGGGCTGTTCTTGGAATAAAAAAAAATACTTGAAAATGATTAAATGATTGTAGTTTACAGTTTTGTTTCTGCTCTCGTTGATCATCTGAATAAACTGCATACAAAACTTCAGTTGGACTGCGAATCCCATCCCTACATAGTCTGTATAGCTGATGGGGTGGTGAAGTAAGAAATGGCTTCACCAGTGAATGAGTACTCTCAATTCCTGCCTTACACAATCCAGCGCTGCTTATAACCCCAGGAAACAACAAGAACAAGATCAAGAACAACCTTTTGTTAAAGTTATACAGGGGTGAATAAACTGAAAACCGACTTTTGGAGTGATGATAATGGATGTATCTTTAACAACTGAATACGACACATTTAACATATAGGACATTAAAACAATAGTGTTCTCTATGGATTATTAAGGCTTGAAGAACCATGATGACATTCAGTATATGTTACTCAACTGTATTGGAGAATGATTAAATGCTTCATGTTATTGTGGGGGGAGGGTAATATTTTTTCCATGTTTTATTTATTCGAATAGTAGAAAGGATTAGCAAAACCTACGGTATTCCCATATGCATTTGCTAAACACAGTCTGATACACTAGAACGAGTCACTGGAAGTATTCGGATGTCTGTGGGACAAGGGCAGTGGCCGCCAGTTCTCGTCCCCTTAAGGCTGAGGCTTTATTGTGCTGAAAACAAATTAGTACACCCTCTTGTTCTAATTGTATGTTATAATAGAAGTGTTGGTAATTTGCATATTAATTAATAGAAAGCCTGCTGGCATTGCTGTCAGGGATTTGCAATTTTGAAGTGTCAATTTACAAGCACACGAGTCTGAAATGATACCAGTTGAATGTATTTTTGTCCTTGGTCACTAAATAGACAGCTGACATTGATAAGAAGGTTAGAAGCTTCAGGCATCGGTGCTCTGTATAGTGCCAGGTGACTACGTGGACACTCCCAGACTGTGTTTCTAAAACTTTAAAACACTTTTATTCACTCTTGATTATATGTAACTTACAGTACTCAACCTGTACTGGAGGGCCCCAGTGTAAGATGTATATAATCCTCGAGAAACCCAGAGCTAGTTGGAAACAGTGGTAATGTAGACCGATTAAGCGAACAGTTGACTAAAGTTTGGAGTGGAACGAAAACTAGAACAGGGACACACTGGCAGCCCTAGCAGTAAAACTGCTTTTAAGTCAGAGCTGTAGATTATAAATAACTTAATATTTGTATAAATATTATTATGCAAATAACTTTCCCAAAAGCAAGGGTGCTGTACATAGTGAAAAATAAGGAAAAGAGTGAAAAAAAATACAATAATAAGTATAAAAGTAAACCAAGAGCTTATAGTATAAACTGTAAGGCAATCTGGCATCGGCCCTAATAAAAGGGCGAGTTTTAAGTTTAAATCTGAAAAGAATTAGAAAAATGTGAAGATTCATGTTGTTGTGATATGTGAAGGATTGAGACCTGACCCTCCTCATGCATGAATTAGGTGCTAGAAGACCTTTCTCTAGCTGAAACTGTGCTCCACACTGTGAGGGAGGCTTCGGACTGTTCCCATGACCACTCTTCAGAAGCTTTTAGCAGTTGTTTCTATAATCTTGTCTGTCGCATGTGGGTAATGTGTGATTGAAAGTGCTGGTTTGGAAACATTAGTTCAAGAAAGAAGATGGATTAGAATTTTCTAACTTTTTATTTCCTTATTACAATTGCAGGTCTATAAAATGAAAATGATTCACATTTTGAGCTGTAGCCTAGCAGTAGGTTCCTGGGCCCTCATTAGCATTAACCTGGGACTTCCTACAGAGAATTTCAGCAAGTCCAAGTGAGTGCGGATTGGAATCTGTGAAACCAGTCCTTAGTGTGTGATACCATTAGATGTCCCTGATAAAATATAATTAATTTTAAGCGCCATCGCTTTGAAAGTTAATTACCTTAAGGAAATTACATTTTCAGCTAATTAAAGTTGACTGGGTTTTTGCACAAAGCAAGTGTCTATATCCAGTATTGTTAGAGCAATCTTTAGACGGCTTAAACGGCTTTAGACGGCAGAGGAAAGAGAAAACTGATGCCTGTACCTGCCTTTGTTGTTCAAATCATTTTGAGCCAGAATCTGTTTGCATATGTTGAGAAATTTGACAGACCATTTTATATTGCTGCACAGTTGAGCAGCTTAGATTAATTTTAAGATGGAGCTGGGAGATGACTGGAAATGTCCTGCTTTATTGTGTACTAGATATTTGTTTACCAGGAGTTCAGTACTATCCTGTGACTCGTCATAAGGTTGCAATAATTAATTTAGCTTATAGAAGTCACTGTAGATATTTTCCCATCCTGTTAATGTGATCTTTCACATACATCCCTGTTAAGATTGGCCTAACTGTTATCTGGAGCTACAGAAGACATTTTTGTATCTGGATGTTGTGTAACTGCTTTATCCAATACATGTTTGCTGGGGATCTGGAGCCAGTCACAGCAAGTAGTGTGTGTGAGACTGGTTATCCCCTGTAAGGGATGCCAGTCCACTGCAGGGCTCACAAACACGCACACACTCGCATCAGGGCTAATTCTATCCATTACCAGTATATATCCACCCTACCAGTATATGTCCATGACATTTTCTTGGCTTAACATGATAACATGATATTTGCAATGAGAACAGCACCCTTGTCCAAAGAAAAAGTCACAATATGCCCGTTAATCTGTTTATTAACTAAACTGCGTTTCTGAGGCTAGTTGTTTCCGAAAGGTGCCTGTACAATGCCAGCTTCAAGATTAAACAAGCAGACCTCAGGTCTTGATTAAAGGTTTACTCTTGGTTTGTTTCTATTATTTCTAAATTATTAGCCTGGTCATTCTGGGGAGGATATAGTATAGTTCCTAAGACCTTAAAGACAAGTCTTAAATACTGTAAGATCATTATCCAGTTTATCCACAGGTCCATAGCTCTGTCCTGTTAATGTGATCTTTCACTTAATTCATTTTCCTGCTAAGATTGGCTGAACTGTTGTCTGGAGCTACAGGAGACATTTTCCTGTATCTGGAAATCATCACAGGACCCCTGTTTGTTTATCCGCAGAGGTTTTCTTTGTGACTTTAATAAGCAAAGCCTAACGGGCAAGCCACTAATCTGCTACAAAACAGGGTGGGCGATCAAGC